TGTTTGAATGAGTTTTAGAATTCAATATGAATTGATATAGTTGTTCAATCTACGGAGTTGAGAAGCAGATGATAAATTATATGAAATATGAAGAAAACAGTTTCGGGTTGTAGTAGTGACATGTATCAGTGACCTGTACCAGTCGTGAAATACTACATGAGGTTGTACGAGCGGACTAGCTGAGCTTAAGGCCTCGTGGGCTGGACCAAGATAGGATGGACGTGACTTGATACTCTAGGTGAGCTGGATGCGTTCCTTGGAGAGAATCAAGGAGCATGAATATTTTCTTATATATTGGCTAAGATTAAGGAAAGGAACATATTTTACAAAGATGTGATATCTTCCAAACTTGAAGATCAAGGCTAGAGTTAGCCGTCAGTTCCTATTGTGTATAAATAGGAGTGTAAAAACGTGGAAAGACGTTTAACACAATTAGATCATATGTCTTAGCAAAGGGGATTAGAGATTGTCTAGTAAAAAAAGATCTTGATCAAAGGGGCTAAGAGGTAGTGATAGGTTCACAAGATCATGTGTGATTTGTGAACACATTAGGCTAGGACTGAAGTTGATAAGTGGAACTTGTAAGTGTACTTATCGTTTGATCTAGTAAAAATAATTTGGAGAAAAAACCCTTGTGTATTGTGTTCGTTTCCTGTACTAGTATCTGTAGTACTCTATATTACAGCAGCTCTTGCACTTATAGAAACTCTAAAGATAAAGCCTCTGAATCAAAACAGAGTATTTTGCCTAAAGGTAATGGGTCAGATGGAGTTAAGCTGGTGGGCTTTAAAACACAACACAAGCCCACGAAGATTAGTTCATCTGAACCAAAGAAGAAAAAAGAGTTATCTTCTGCACCAGCTCATAATGTCGTTGCAGAGGAAGCTGCGAGGAAGGTGACTTCGCCAGATCATCGTACGGAGGGTCAAATCAAGAATTTCAATAGATTTGGTCCTTTAGAAAACTACGATCAAGATGCTGACAAGTGTCAGAGCTAACGAGAGAAACCCTAAGCTTAATTTGATGTATAAATACTCTAGAGTTACGGTTGTAATAGACAGGGAAAATAGATTAATAAAAGAAGCTCTTTTGAATGCTTAAAGCTGTATTTTGAGTTTCTTACA